CTTTGGAGGAGGACGAAAACCAAGCACCGCCTCATCCGTAGGCCGAACAATGGGCATGGACCTCGCCGGCCGCCCCAGCCAGGAATCATCACGCTACCTATACCGCATCCCGAGCAACGAAAACAGGAGCTCGAAAAGCCTGACGCAGAGCGAAGGCGACGACTGGTTCATGGAGATGGACAGGGCGAATTCACGCGGCCAAGTGACGACAACGGTCGAGAAGTCCTCGATCCCGTTCGAGCACATCAAGGCGTCGGATAAGAAGTAAAAAGCCAGCTTGTTTGAAGGGGAGATGGGGTGGGAAGGATTGAGTACATGTCTTTGGTAATGTCTTTCGCGTGATACCCTGCAGCAATGCAATATGCAACATATCTATTTCCTGTACGCAGCACATACGATAGATGAGTATGTAGTAATGTAGTCATCTAATTCATTCTTTCACGATTCACACATTGGGCACCTTTGTCCAACTTGCTCACGTGGATCGTTCGGTCTTGTCATACACTTCCAAGACGCCGCGGGCCGCAACGTTGGTTATCGGTCCGAACTAGAAACACGATGGAGTCGATGGATACTGTGTACTGATTCAATCACCGATGGTTCCCCCGCAGAGATGCCGTGTTGGATCTCAATAGAATCGCGCACGGTGCTGTTGTTCGTGTTCTTCCTGCTCCCCGCTTGCCGCGCTTTCTCCGTTGTATGAGCGTTGGAGTTTTGGGTCGAAGGGAGGGTCGTCCGCCAAGGAATGGACCTCGACCATCCATCATTCCTTGTCACCTACATTGGCGAGGAGTTGAAAAGTATGTAAGGCTGTGGCCCCGCTTGCGTAAAGTTTAACTTTACTTCCACGGTACTCTGATCGCCAAATGGGAAGCAGCATGTGGTACATGGAGAGTGTATCTACTGCGCAGTTCGCTCGTCGAATACAAACACATTTGGGCGGTAAGATACTGCACATTCGATTTCGACGCTAAGGTAAACTCTCGGGTTGCTGTCCCGATCGAATGTCGTACTTAAGATCGCGTGCTCACATGCCATTTCGCGCGGCAGCTGCAGGACAAGCTCTGCGCGGCGTCAGCGGCGTCAGTGTTACTAACCTGTTTGGGCGACGCGCTGAGGCTTCGGACGCCTGAAGAAAGCATGGCAAAGCTTGAGGCTGGACGCAACTTCCCCTTCAATATCGACGAGCAACTTTGTGTTTGACAACCGCTGATTACCGTTAATTCTTTTGAGCGGCAATAGAACTTAATCCCGAACGCCACAGCATTCCAGAAAGCAAAGGACGCGTAACCCTGGATAGAGTTGTAGCCCCAACGGCTGTCTTGCTCGGTACCCAGATATTCCCGGCGGAAATGTGCACCTGCTTTATGGAGTAACAGCCGCGTCGTGGGCCTCCAAATCCTACGCCACAAGTATTGGGAAAAGCTTTCTTCCATTGTGAGTGGTCTGATGAGTGCGACAGGACAGCACCAAACCCGATGCGGGTTCGAGTGAGGGTGATCACAGGGTCTTTTGCAGTGAGTGCCACAACAGCCGTACCAGGGTTGCAAGCAAGCTCCAGCTCAAGTGAGAGCCGTTAAAGTTTGAGCGGTCCGCCTACGAAAGCTTATCTTCTACTCCAACGACGCTCTTGCTATCCTACTACGCTGACAATCGTGACGCGACACCCTGCTTGATCGCATTCTGGTTAAGCCCCACGCGACACTACAATGGCTTCCGCTGCGGAAACCCAACCGGGTCTGTACAATGCGACTGACGCGAAAGGCGACATCGAACGTAGAGGCAGCGTCGCAAAGACAGAGAAAGGAAGGTGGGAAAGATTATGGCCCGTTATCGCATGCGGCGCGGGTCTTTTCAGCGATGGCTACCTCAATAATGTACGCAGAACACGACTCCAAGAAGCGACACCCAGACAATTCCCTATGCGACAACAACATTCCCCATCCCAAAGCACCACCATGATATCCGAGTCGAGATTTGAACTGCGAGGATGCAAATGCTGATAGAGGAATTCTTAGATTATCGGTCCAGTGAACACGATGCTCAAAAAAATCTACCCAGACTCATATGCGAACTCGTCCGCTCAAGCAAACGTCTCGAGTATCACTTTTGCGGGCACAGTTGTGGGCATGCTGTTCTTCGGGTATACATCGGATCACTTTTCGAGGAAATGGTCGTTGTTCACGTCAACCATCATCATCATCCTATTCGCCATCTTGGGTACGGCGTCATACGGAGCTGGAGGTAGTCCAAGTGGACTGTTGACGGCGCTCGTTGTGTACCGTTTCTTCCTCGGAATAGGTATGCACCGAAGTTTGTGCTTATTTCTCTCGATCAACGTACTGACTTGCAGCAGGTATCGGCGGAGAGTATCCAGCAGGCAGCGTCGGCTGCGCAGAATCCACCGGCGAACTCAAGCAAGGCACCCGAAACAAGTGGTTCATCCTCTTCACCAACGTGCAGATCGACCTAGCATTCTTCATCAGCGCTATCGTCGCGACCGTCGTTGTCCTCGCTACGGGTGAAGACCATCTACGAGCCGCCTGGCGCATCTGCCTGGGCATCGGAATCATCCCGCCCCTTTCGCTGCTGTACCTGCGATTGAAACTACAGGAGCCCGAGGCGTTCAAGCGCGAGTCGCTAGCCAAGGCAAAGACACCATGGCTGCTGATTATCAAATACTACTGGTTCCGCCTGAGTATCGTCAGCATTATCTGGTTCATCTACGACTTCAGCGCGTACTCATTCGGTATCTACGCCACGTCCATCTTGGCCAATCTGCTAGGAGAGTCGGCACCACTGTGGAAGAGTCTGGCATGGAACATCCTCATCAATTTCTTCTACATGCCTGGTTGCCTTGCTGGTGCTTTTGTCGCGGATCTGCCCTCTATGGGCCCTAAGAAGACGCTGTTCATCGGAGTGACGTTACAAGGTATCATCGGCTTCATCATGGCTGGATGCTATCCTTGGTTGAACAAGCCTGAGAACGTTGCCGGCTTCGTCGTGGTGTATGGTGTTTTCCTTGCGCTGGGCGAGTTTGGACCAGGCGATAACATTGGTCTGGTTGCTTCCAAGACGTGCGCAACGGGTATACGGTATGTCACTTTATCGCATTCCTAAAGCTCCAGTTTCTAACTTTTAGACAGAGGACAGTATTACGGCATCGCCGCGGCCGTGGGCAAGATCGGTGCCTTTGCCGGCTCTTACGCTCTGGACGCACTTCAGAAAGCTGCAGGCGATGATGAAATCGCTGCGGGTCGTAATCCCTTCTTCGTGGCTTCCACTCTTGCCTTCGTCGCTGCTGGACTGGTATTGCTCCTTCCTCATATCGGCCAGGACACAATCGACCAGGAGGATATACGGTTCAGGGAGTACCTGACAGCGAATGGATATGATACTAGCAGCATGGGCTTGAAGAGTGCAGACGCAACGAGTACTGAGAGCGACGACAACGGCGTTGTGCCAGTTGAGCAGACATATGGGAAATAAGGTAGGTTCGGCGTGAAGAGGAGACAGTCGATAACGACGCCAGTTTTAGGCAGTAGGGATCTATTTTCATCCGAATACAACTCGCTACAAACCACCATCTCAAGATCACTACCGTCCTTTGCCAACAATCTGTATGCACACTCAAGAACGGGACAGCTCCAGAGCTCCAGAACCGTAAGTGCAAGCACGTGCTAGGACTACACGCTAGAACCTTCCGGCCTAGCGTATTCTCACACTACCGAGGCTATCTGCAAAGCCGGAGAACCTGGAAAATATTACAACCCACGTCACTAGCAGCTCCCCACCATGCACGACAGACGACAGATATACCATATCCCAGCCCACTTGATCCTCCCTGTGCCGCCTTAAACTGGGCATCGCGCGTAATACCATTATACAACGGATACATGGACGAGCCCATCTCACGTGCAATTGGGCACATTGCCCAGGTACCTCGGATCACTGTTCAACCAAAGCAGGCTTAGACACCTAGGCAAAGACATACCGAGCCTCTTCGGTAATATGGAACCAGATGGCCTGAGAGTGGAACAAGCCGTGGTATCCCCACACGAAGGAAGAGACTGCGTCTTCATGTGGACCCTAGTAAGCCTGAATGCGTGTAGTTGAGCCCATCGTCCGGGCACTCTGATTCGAAGGGGAAACAATACTAAAGACCAACGAGAGACCTTTTATTGACTGACTGACTGCAAAAGCAAGCAGTGACCTAACATCCTCACCTCATACACACAGATCCGTCATTCCGAACCTCGAATCCAGCTCACCCGTCATGTCTCCCGCAGCAGTAACCTCGACCCCTCCCAGCACAACCCCCCACACAAACGGGAAATCATCTACCAAACCCGTCATCACCCCTTCTTCGACGGCCACCGCTCAAATCCCCGCATGGGTCCAACCCGACCTCGCCCGTCTCCTCCGCGTAGAGCACAACCCCGGCTCCTTCACCTCGCGCTCCGTCTCCCTCGTCAACCTGCCCCCCGGCGCAGTCTTCGCACGCATCACAAACCCCACACCAGCAACCGTAGCCTACTCCTCCGTCCAAGCCTCGCGCGACCTACACATCGAGCTGAACTGCGACCTCGTCTATATAAACCACAGCTGCAAGCCTAGCCTAGTGTTTGACATGCAGCGCTGGGAAGTGAGGGTTTCTGAACAGGGAGAGGGGCTTAAGGAGGGGGATGAGCTCACGTTCTTTTATCCGAGTACCGAGTGGAGTATGGCTCAGCCTTTTGAGTGCTTGTGTAAGACGGAGGCGTGTGCGGGTGAGATTAAGGGCGCGAGGGATATGAGCAAGGAGGTTCTGGGCAGGTATTGGTTGAATAAGCATATTGAGGAGATGCTTGCTGAGAGGGATGGGCAGTAGGCTTGTTGATGGGAACGAGGGTTGAAACAAAGAAGAGAATGGAGACAAGAATACTATGAATATCGATTTGAGAATTTATTACTTGTCGTACGGATTTCCCGCGCTTGCTTGTCGTACAACTCCGCCATCCTTACTTCCACCCCCTCAGTACCCGCCGAACATTCTCCACAGTCACCTCCGTGAAACCGTCTCCGAAAACCTTCCCATCTGTTATTTTTCCCTGCCACTTGTTCCCTTTCGCCCTGCTAGTATTAACATGATAGAGCACACCCTCAGTCTCATCCATCAGTACGTCAAAGCCGATACCGTTCTCCTCTTCCTCGCTATCACTATGGTCGTGTACCACGTAATACTCCCTTAACGCACGCTTCGTCCGCTCTGAAACATGGAGAGAAGGCCGTGAAGAGAATTCGTCTCTGAGGCGGTACAGCACTGCTTTGGAAGTGGAAAACGAGGTGCAGAGGCAGAGAGTGCGGAGAGTAGTGAAAACCACTCTTGTCTGAGTGATGACCCAGACTGTTGATGGGAGAGGGCTGAAGATTTCCTCGGTTGCAGTGGACGGGATGGGGCGTTTGAGGTTGGGAGTTGAGCATGAGTCTACTTCCGCTGTACATACAACCTCATCCTTTGGATCGTCCTCAGTAGATTTGCGCTCTTCTGGAGTCTGCGACATCGATGTTTTGTCCAGTGGTGCTTTCGGACGATCGTCTTCCCTGTGCTGCTCTGTTCCTAGTGGGCGTGAGAGTTCCATCTTCTCCAGTTCCTCCTCCAGGCGTTGAATGTTACCCTGTCCTTGGCGATGCGAAGACATGACTGAGATGGAGGCTAGGAATACCGGGTGTTTAGATACCGTCGTTGGCAGTAGGCCGCTGGTCGTAGTGCTGGTAGCAGGAGTAGGGGTTGATACGGTGCCGAAAAACTACAGGAATTTGAAGGGGAGGCGACTGATGGCGAGTGGTAAAGAGTGTTCCAATATCGAAAATCGTTCTACACATGCCTGCCGCCCAGATGACCAGCTCAGGAAGTACAACAGACACCACAGTCATCTGAGCACCAGCAAGACGTGATAAGATCATCTGTAAGCACTCTCCGGATGCGGCAAATCGACCTATTCCCCCATTAGCCAGCCCTTACACCCCTTCCCTCCCTACCAGATCAACATACCTCACTATACCTCCCCTGATAAGCCGTCGGCCTCCGATCATCCATCTCCACACTCCACACCTCGCCCTCATCCTCATCCTCCAACTTGCGATACCTCCCCTTCCTGCCCGGCAGAAAATTCAAACTCTTCTCCGCATCCATCTTGGCCGCTCTCTTCTTCCGGTCGCGCTTGTTCTTGCAGATGACGAGCGTGATGATGAGGCAGAACATGCCGACGGTAGCGAGGACGGAGAGAATGATGACGACGATGAAACCGCGTTTTTCGCCTGGGTTCTGGAAGATGGAGGAGTTGGTGTCTCGGGTGTGGAGGGAGGTGGGTGACATGGTGCGTGTGGTGTGGCGTGGTTGTGGTGAGGATATCTGGGTGGGATGGGATGGGACGAGGTTATGCTGTCGGTGTGTATTAAGGTTGTCTTCTGATATGGTCGCTACGAAAAGAAGGAACTGAAATAACAGGCTCACAATAGAGGAAGTCGCAATCCACCATATAAACACCCATCACCTCGCCGAAAGCACCGCCTACACAGCCGCCTCCTCACGACACCGCCTTGGTGGCCTCACCCTCTTCATGATCCCCCGCCAGGATGGCACTCCTCCCACTCTCCACCCGCACCGCCTTAAAATAGCGACGTGCGCAACCTCTCCTGCCAATCGCAATAGTCCAAGGTACGCATCGTTCAGGCGTGACGTGGCCGAGTGCGTGCTGCGTTTCCGTTCGTAAATTGGAATGTGCAAATGAGCACCGAATTGATGATAATTTCGTTGTCCGACTCATCGTTGTGTGAGTTGTGCGGCACAGCCGCGTGCCGGGGCAATGAGTCGTTAGGTTATAGGGGGCCTTGAACGCTCTGATCGTCGTGGGTGAGACGAGACGAGATGAGATGTGGGGGGCCTGGAGTCATTGTCAGCCTCGCTGAATCAGTGGTCATTTTGTATGTTGGAACTTTGACAACTACATAATTGAAGCCGGTGACGCTTATGTACTGTCTAATGGTCTCGAACAGAACAAGTTGAACGCGATGGATGGATACATGATTTGATAATGGTTCGCACCGAATTCTATGTACTGAACTGAATAACCATATTCAACGCCAGAAAATGCACAAGACCATGCTGTGTACGACAACAAAAATCATTTTCATGACCCCACCTTCCCACCCGAACACCCTCATTACACGTATGCTCAATGAAAGAAGCAGGCCGAAGCCCCGACACAACATCCACCCCCTCTCACCATCCCCATCTACATCCTCTTATAATTCTCCGCCAGCCCCTCAAACTGATCCAGCCCCTCAACTCCATTACCAGGACAACTCCAATCGCGCTCATACGCCTTATCGGGCAGAATCCCCGCCTCGCGCCCCCGCCTATAACTCCACTGCGTGCTGCTCTCCGTCTCCCACGTCCAGTAAAACCAGCCCCAACCAGCTTCAAACGCATCCATTTGGCCAATCGCAAACTGGTACAGCCACTTCTTGTACTGATCGCTGTAATTCTTCGGGTCGGCATTGGCCTGGTCGCAAGAGCACTGCGACGATTCCAGCGGACACTGCGGCTTGAGGACAGCGCCGGATTTGCCGTCTTGCGCCTGTAATGTGCCTTCCCAGCGTGTGCCTGTGTTGACGTTGTTGATGTATTGCGTGCAATCGGTGTCGGCCTGGGACCATTCTCCGCACATGGTAGGACCGAAACCGGTTTTCTTGTCCATGGAGCGCTTGCTTTGTTGGGTCCAGGCTTCGCAGGCGAAGTTGAGCTTGTCGCGGTGCTCGAGCTTGATTTGGTCCGTGTTGAAGATGACGTATTGATGCACGTCGAGGAGTAGGTTGTCGTTGCCTTGCAGCTTGCCTTGCCAGTTGTCGAGGCCCATGAAGCCGTCGCCGAAGACGATGATGCCTTCGATGCCGTCGGCGCGGATTTGGTCGATGGCTTTCTGTGTCCAGGCGACTACTTTTTCGGTGTCGAGCTCAACATTGCGGGGTTCGTTGACGAGACCGTACATGGTGACTACGTTCTTGTAGCGATCTTGGGCGAAGAAGACGGAGAGCTTGTGGTGGACGTCTAGGGTGCGTTGGCCGTTCTTGTCGCCGTCTGTGCCGTTCAGCCAGTTGATTTGGCCTTGACGACCAGAGTGGTTCCAGCCGTTTTGACTACCTGGTGCGCCGTGAAGATCAAGGTTGACGCGGAGCCCGTTTTGTCGACAGTACTCAATACCGCGGAGAAGGTAGCGCCATGCTACTTGCGGTACGTAAACGTCGTCGTCGTATGTCTCCACGATCCAGTAGCCGAATGGGAAGCGGACGTGATCCATACCAGCCTCCCTGATCTCCTGGAAAGTCTTCTTGTTGATGAATGTAGAGTAGTGCTTCTCCATAGTGTCTTTTGCCTTTGCAGGTCCGAGCTTGCTCAAGAACGTCCATTCGTCGACCACGTTGTCTTTGGACCCATATTGAGAGAAGTAAGACGGCGTAATGAAAGGCTCGAGGTTGAGCCAGCCACCGACGTTCACACCACGGATAGGTGTCTTGCCATACTCAAACGAGTCTGAGAGTTTAGGAACGGAAGGATTTGCTTGAACATCATCGTCCCAGGAGTCGTTGAGACCGATGACCGGGAGGCCTCCGACGAGTTTGTTGGTGTAGGTAACATTGAAGTCATCGGTATCGTACCATGCCCATGGGTCCAATATGCCACCTCGGTCCGCTTCTGGTACGCTGTTTCGGTCCTTCCCGGCCAGATTGTCGTTCTTTGGCCCCGATGAGGCGGCGGCGGATCCGCTCCCTGAGCTTTCGTCATCCTTGCCTCTGCTCGAGTGCAATGCAGCGACAGGTATGACGATAGCCAGGATGATCACGACGCAGACTATGGCGAATATTATGCGCTTTTTCTTCTTCTTTCGTGCCAGCTCCTCTTCTGTGTACACGGTTGGTGGACCACTGCCTGCACCTCCGCGCTTCTCCATCATGAACCGATATTCGGAATCGTCGTCGATGCCACCCTCTTCGGCCAGGGGTCCGCTGATCACGCGCCGCTTCTTCTGTTCTGTGCGGTGTTGCTTCTCTTGCCGTCTTCGTTCTCTCCGCTCGTCGGCTTCTGACGGTGTGTATTTGGACTCGTGTCTGCGTCTTCGTTCCTCCCGTTCATCGTCCGTGTATGCGCCTCTTTTCCTCTCAAGCTCATCGTCAGTCTGACTATGCTTCAACGCAGCAGCCTTCCGTTTCTCCTCTCGCCGTTTCCTAGCTTTCTCCTCAAGCAATGCGGCATCGCTCTCTGCAGCGCGTCGTCTGGCTTCCTCCTCTTGCTGCTCTTTTCTCTTCTCCGCTCGCTCATGCTTTATCCGGTCCTTCTCCAGGTCTTTCTCCTTCTTCCTGACCTCTTTCAGGTATTCATCGTCGTAGTCGTAGGCCCCCCAGCCCCCAGCCTTCTTCGCATTGGTCTTGTCAAGCTTCGCTAGCGCATCGAGACTCAGAGGAGCTGAGCCTCGACTTCCCCTCCCACTTCCATCTGTCGTAGAATTGCGCCGCGATCCCCGAGCTTTGCGTGGCGCCGGGGATTCCTGCTCAGTGTCGCTTTGGTGTCTCGATCGCCGGGGCGGCTTTGGCAGTAGGTCGCCTGAAGAGTCTGTCGCCCTGTGTCCCTTTCGCCGTCTTCCTTCCCGATCGTAGACTGCATCCTCACCGCGGGATTCTCTCCTCCGCCGTCGCTCAGGATCTACGTCGCCATGTGATTCTCTGCGCCGTCTTCGTTCGTCGCCCTGCGGTCGTCTTCGCGACGCATTGCGCTCGCGGTCGCTCATCGAAAAGATCGGGTGGTCGTGATAAGTATACGTGCTTCAAGCGAAAGCGCGGTGTAGAAACGTGGGGCTGGGATGCACTTCACAAGATAGCTGCAAAAGCACGCAAATAACAAAAATGCGTTCAGTCGTGTCTGCCACCACCCGGGCGCATGTGAATATCGGTAGCGAATATGTATAATCGGCGGCTGGGCACATGCACGAGGTTGGGCTTGCTGGGATGCCGTGTCGTTGCTGGGGTGATGAGGTGTTGATGGCCTGGCCTGACGTGGCCGAGCGCTGGGCGCCACAAGCCGCTTGGATGGCCATCTTGGAACTGCGACAAACTTGGACACAGGACGCGGAATCGGTCCTGTGTGAAGGCTATTGATATTTGACAAGGCGGGTATCACAGACGACCAAGTTCTCAGCTCACACTTGGAGTACTTGGTAACGCAAAGCTGCGTATGCCTTGGTGGCTGTGTCACAAACACAAACAGAGTGCACAATACAACCTCTAGAGTACAATGGCATGTCACATACCACCCAGAACTTCCTTGAGAATGCCATCGCGTCATCACAGATTACCCAATCTCGACGAGACCGTTGAGTCCCTGCGCCCTGAGATCAACAACGGCAGGGAAGGAAGATGTGCCGCCAACTCGCTTCCGCGGATGACATCATAGCCCCTGTAATGATGAGCAAGCCTGCCCTTGGAGGCTTGGACCTCCACGCTCCGTTACTTGGTGCAATTCGTAAAGATTATCGTGCATTGTTGCATCTGCGTGTGGTATCATAGCTGGAAATATACAAAAACAATGCGCCAATGGTCATAGGGCTCGTCCTGACCCTTTACCCTTTTCAGCCAACCATGCCTGTGAAGGCCCACCCGTGCCTCTCTAATAAGCCGGTTTTGGGTGATCGTGACGATTTAATGAGAGTACCGCTCTACAACGCCAATTCAGTTTGCCACCCAGGGATGACGAACGTGCATTCCTTGCAGCATGCGGCGTGGCAGTCCTGTCGGAAGTAGTGGTACATGCAATTCTCGAAATGTGAAGGCTTCATAGCAGTTTCGTGGGTAAGGTTATTCAAGAAGCCGAAACACTTTGTGAGGACTCAGTAGCTTCGGAAGATGCTCCCTCTTTCCCCTTGTCTGCCACTTTCTTCTCGTCGTCGCTGTAGAGGCCGTGTTCGTAGATGTAGTCGACGACCTTGTCGGGGATGTAGTAGCGGATGCTCTTACCCCGCTTGCGGAAGAGCCGGATCTTGGTGGACGAGACGTCGTTCTGGATGAGTTGCGGGATCACGCGAATGTTCTCTCTCCACTGCTGGAGCTGTACGAGCGCATCGTCTGTAGCATGTTAGCGGTTGTAGGGTTCGTGTGTAGAGGAACGTACCAATATCAGTACCACTGCGCTCGAGGATAAAAGCACCGTAGTGACCCAAGATCCTGCTCAAATCCTCGCGAGCCCAGAGGCCGGGCGTGCTCATCGTCTGGATAAGGTCGGCGCCTGCGAGGAGCGCCACATGAATGCGTCGCTTTTCGCCATTC